AGTGGGAATGGACTGTTGCAATGTTTCCATTGCAAGTTGCAGATTATCCGAGACTAGTTCGAGATTGGCATATGTGCTGAACAAAAGCAGGGCTTTGTACTTCACCAAAGTTTGGCACTGTCCCACACTAGACAGTAAGGACTCTTATCTTAAATTTTGACATTTTCAGTGTTGAAGACAGGTTCAGATCTAAGTAGGAAAAAATTTTCCTTTCTGACAGATGTATCAAACCCATCCCTTGAGCAGAGCTGTAGCACTAAGCCTTGTTTTGTTTTGGTATGGTAATACCAAAGGGCAGAGGTGCCAGTGCATGGTTACCAGTCATGTCAATTTGGCTGTTTTGCAAGAGAAATTTCTTTCTCTCTGCATAATAACTTTTTTCAGGCATGAAGGACTCGGGGAATGTGTTATTCCCCACCTCTACCTTCACTTTCCACATAGTATTTGCTGTACCCATCTGCCTGCAGCTTTAATATCACCCTCATTAAAGAAGTCCCAGATCAATTGCCTGAAGAGAAGTGGGATGGGCTGTCCTGAGCTTCTGGAGCCTGTGAGGACCAACAATGGACCCAGTGTTCTTTCAGCTGATGATTAAATACTTGGCTCATAAATATCAATATTATGTAATTCCTAAATCAAGTCAGCAAATTGTGACCATATGTGAGACTCTCTGTTTGGGAAGATCTGAGTCTTCCAAAGTCAGTCTGAGGAACAAACTAGGCTCCTCATCAAGAGTTGATGAGAGCAGCAGTAGTGACTTAATCCTCTGTCTTTCCTCATGCCCATCACCTCCTAGCTTGAGATTGATCCAGAGGCCTGTGGGGTTATGTGAGTAGGCCCAGGACTGTTGTGTTTGATTGAGCCCTGGCAGTCAGCTCTGCTGCCTCTTGGCAGATCACTTCCTCACTGGTGTGATGGGTGACGATCGCAGGTGGGGACCAGCAGGACAGCTTCTTACTGAGAGGCCTAATTTATAACTGGTGCTTAGTACATCCAGTCATCCACATCTTGGTGGATTGTGGGGGCTTTTCAGCACACATGGTAACTCCTGACACTGTGTATCCCTGCCTCATCTGTGTGTAAAACCATATCAAGATGACGACATTTAGAGGGAACCTGAACCTTCTTTCCATATCCTCTGCCCTAAAGGATGCCCGACAAATATTTTTATGTCTTTGCCTGAAGTGACAGGAGGTTTAGTTAGTGCTAAGAACTCTGAAGAGGTAGAGTTATAATTATGGGTACCAAAGGCTTTTAATTTTCTGAGTAAATTGAAATCTGGCTCCCACTGACACAGCACCTACTGTTGTTGGTGGATGCGGGGAGTGTCTTGCTTCTTGAAAGTCACGTTCCTTCCATGGGGTCTGCTGGTGTGTTGCAATCTGGGAAGAACATACTTGGTGCTGGATTACCTCCCTGTGTTCTGCAAGACTGCAGCAGTTCGCAACCTGCTCCATTTAATTTGCAGCCAGTTTTCTTGTTGCCTCTTTGCTAAGATCTGATGAATTTGAATCCCCAGTAGAACCTCTATCCTGGGACAGGATTCCAGCTACCTAAGAAGTTGACTTCAAAGGTATTTTCCATCTCTGGGCACTTCGATCCCCTGACCTTGTATCTGAAATAGCCATAAATGATTTGTCAGGCATTTACTTTTGTTTGTGTTGACAAACCCTAGAGACTCTAATCCATTTATGTGTTTTTTCTGTGCCTATCTCACAGTATCTGTGGAGGTCTACCAAAAATCAGCTCGGAGGAAGAGGCTGTGCCTGCTACTTACAAGTGCAGTTGATGTGGATGGATGCAGATACATCCCTACCTGTTCTTCAGAGAGCCTACCAAGGGGCAGTGCCTCACAGTGCATAGAAATAACCTGGTTGTGTGTGTTGAGGCATACAAATCTTTCTCCAGCAGTCACATATGCTCCCCAGAGAGCTATCAGCATTTTGTCCATGGGCTTCCCTTGCTCTTGTAATATCAACATTTACTGTTTTTCTATCTTGACCAGTTTAAATAACTCTTGGCATTTTATCATCCAGATGTGGCCAGAAACAACCAATATGGAACAGCTTGTAAAAATAATGGGGTGTGAGAACAGACAGTTGAGGGAACAAAGCTGCGACTGTCTTTCATCATTTCTAGAAGGAAATAGTGTTGTCATGAGCTTCCATTTTAGCTTCTATGTGGGGTGTGGAAGGCCCTGTGGTTTATTTTCCTCTCTTGGAGGAGGAAGGCAGAGCTTTCTGCTGAACAGAAGGGCTTGAAAGCAGTGCAGCCTAGCGACCAGAGAAGTCATGCAACTTGGATTCTTCTAACTCCAGTGTGTGGCCTTGGGCAAGCTGCTTAGTGTTGTGAGGTTCAGCTTCCCACCTAACCAGGAGAGCCACAGGCTTTGTTCATCTGAGGTGTGATTTCCACAGTGATCCTGCAATATCCTGCTCTTAAAACTAAGACCACCTTTCCCTTCTGTTTTGTTTTTAGTATGTTGAAGAACACCTTCAGAAAATATAATGCTGATGAATTTGTACTGCCCTGGCTGTTATTTGGGCTCTTTACCAGTAATGCAGAGCAGGACACTGGACTGTCGGGGCTGTGCTGATTTCAGGTGACTGAATTGACCAAGTCACGTTTTGCCATGCTCAGCAATAACAGGTGGGCTCAGTGGTGCCTGTGTTAGGATCCTCTGCTGAACAAACGCAAGGAAATTTCTGTCACGAGCCTAGCACAGACATGAACGCCAGCAGCCTTTGGAGTTTCCTGCCCATCTCTCTCACAAGTCTCTACAGTGAGGAGGTGATCATCTGCTGAGGCTGGTCAGCATTCCTCATGTGAACTGCAATGATGATTTTCTGTAGTTGACTCTGGAAATGGTTATATTTTCCACCAAAGTTCTGCAGCAGGGAAAAGCACCCACCCTTTGTTGGTAGGCAAGAATATCACTGTAGTTAGAATAAACATATCAGCAGCTTCAGTCAACTGTCCAGTATCTTTATCTGTAGCAGGCAAATGTATAGTTTCAGTCTGAACTTTTGTCCACAAGAAGAGTGAAGCCAGAGGGAACAGAATGAACTCGGCAAGGGAGCAAGCACAGTATGTCTCCAACAGGCTGCTCCCAACTAACCCGGAGCAAAACTTTCTTCTGTGGGGACACCATGAGGTCATTAAGTGGCTAAAGGTAGCTTTTGAAACAGAGGTATGTCTGTCATCTACCCAAAAGAGTCTCACGAATTCTGAGGAAGCCTTAGACCTGGTGGATGTTTCTCTATGAAAATACTGGTTTTCAGTATGAGCAGGCTTTCTGAATGCAAGAGAAGATCCCCAACATTTTTTTCCCATCATCTTCCCTAGTTTTACATAAAAGCTTTTGGATGATGGACTTGAGAAGACTGGAAGAAAGGTATTTGTGGACAGATTTTTTTTTTTTCTTCTTTGCCCTTTCTGTTTCTTTTGCCAGAAGTCGTCTTTTACAAGTGTTTTATGAATGAGCAAAGGAAAGAGTTTTTAGGGTAAACATTTTTCCTCACTAAAACAACTCAAAAAGAACCACAAGAATGAATTTTTCCCCAGTTTCAAACCCCATGAAATAGATCAATTGCCTGTCAGTGCTGTCATGTTAGTGAATTTCTTCACTGAAGGGACAGGCTGCAAGCAGAAGACTAAGGAGGGATGGGCGGCTGCTGGGGGAATGGGTCGCGGTGCCTTCACCTCAGATTGCCCCTTTGCCTTCCTCCGGTGATTAACGGGACATGGGTCCCTGCAGTGGTTATAGTGTTTTAAGCAGCTTGGTCCAGCTTGGAACAATTACCTGACTGCCTGGACACTCTGAGAGCACAAGCTCTGGGCTTTTCTGTCTTTGGGATATTAGCTGAAACCAGTGTGATCCAAGACAACTGGAAGCCAGTGCTGTTGAACATCATCTCTTATTTGGTTCTGGGAGACTGAAGGTGCCTGTGGTTTCTGAGATCAGTCCTTTCAGAAGAAGGACCAGGCTGTCATATTTGCTTTGCTGCTTTTTATTGTAAAAGGTCCCACTACAGTGGTCTTTATGCATAGTTAGCCCTTTAAGCCTTCCTGCCAAAGATTCAGCCAGTACAGACAGTGACTCTAATGCAGCAGGTTGGTTTGACATCAGGGCTAATTAGCAGTTATCCAAATCTTGGAGCAAGCTCTTTCAGACCTGGGGTGTGGGTTGTTTTTTGTTGGTTTTTTTTTTTCCTCAAACAGACTAGGCATAAAATTCCATCTGCCTAATTTGCAAATGCAATTGCTTTAATTATGCATCCAAATTGGGAAAGTGTATACTCAAAAAGATAGACAGCTAACTCTATGCATATAGGATGATAAAGTATGTACAAATTAGCTGTATCCTCCAAAGCCTGCACCATCTCAAAGCCTGCCCCCTCTGAGGATAACTGTTTTAAAAGAATAAATCCTTTCATCTTGCAAGTTTTCAGCAGCTAAGACAGCCTGTACACCAGTTTGGTTTGTTGTTTTGTTGCTGTTCCTCATGCAGTTTTATTTTACACAAAGGGATAATTTTCTCTGTCCCTCCTGCCAACAAGGACCAGAACAAAAGGGTTACATGCTGTGAATGCACCTGCTGCTATGTTCGAGAAATTTTCTATCCCAAGAGATGGTGAGTGCAGGGAAGTGTGATAGAGCAGGAGGAGCTGAGGGAAGAAGAACACAGGAATACGGATCATGGTAACTGATGGTGAAGGCTGGAGAATGTGCCAGAGAGCTCAGCCAGGTGCATCAGCAGCCTCTGGCTCTGCCTTGCCAGTCTTCTGCCCTGACCTCCTTTATTGTCATTTTACTGGTTTTCCTTGCACACTGTGTAGATCATCCTGTGATCATCCTGAGACTTGGTTCCTAAAGCTCCAGCCTGGTGGTGGTTCTCTTCCCTGCCTGGATCTGATGCTGCCAAACTGGCACTAATCTCCCTGGATGGTTGTGCCAGGCCTTGCTTTGTCCTCATGGTTTCTTCTGTTTCTTTTTTCCAGATGAGCAACAAAAGGTCGAATAGTTTCCGCCAAGCCATCCTTCAGGGGAACAGGAGGCTGTGCAGCAAGGCGCTGCTGGAGGAAACGGGGCTGAGCCTTTCGCAGAGGCTGATCCGACATGTTGCATACGAAACCCTGCCTCGAGAGATAGACCGCAAGTGGTACTACGACAGCTATACCTGCTGCCCTCCACCCTGGTTCATGATCACCATCACTATTGTAGAGGCAAGTACCTTAATGCCATCTCTCTGGGAGCCTACCCCACACTACCACAGGCTTTGCTGGGACATGAACAAGGGCTAGAGTGGGACTTGTTTAGACCCAGACAAGGACAGGCATAAAGCTGATAGTCATCTTGGCTTGCCTGTCATGTGTGTGTGTAAGTGGAGACTGTGATCCTATCTGTCTCCAAGCACAGTTATTAGTCAGTGAAACAATTTGTATATGAAACCACAGAATTTGGGAAACTGGAACCAAACTTTTTGAGGAGTGAAAATCCACACAGTTCTAGGGAAAGTGGTAATTCAAATCATGGAATTAGAAGAAAAATTCCTATACGGTTACCTCTGTTCTGTGAATGGAGAGAAAAAGGAGGAAAGAGAAACTGGGTTAAATATTCTGACCTGCTCATCTGTTGCCCAAATGAGATCTTTGCACAATTGCTGAGTAATGTGCTCGAATAAGCACAAAGGAGGATATAATATGGCACTGATCGGTAGGGTGCTGAGTTCCTCTGACTCAGTGGCTGCTGTGTTACGGAAAGCCACATAGAGAATTATACCAATGTGTTGCAGGTTCCTCAAAGCAAGGAACTTTCATGCTGTGTGGAGCTGTCAAATGGGAGAAAAATTACTGCACATTTGACTTTTTTCTCCGTGGTTTTGAGCTACAAAGGACTTTTCAGCGAGAGAAGGCATTTGCTAACCAAGGAATCTCTCTACTCTTCTAGGTTGCCTTTTTTCTTTACAACGGAGTGGTATTAGACAGATTTGTGCTGCAAGTCAGTCACCCCTTATACCTGAAGAATGCATTACTTTACCATCCTCAGCTCCGTGCTCAGGCTTGGAGGTACCTAACCTACATATTCATGCATGCAGGGTGAGTACATACAGACTGTGCTGATTCCCCACAGTTCAGGTTCCCCAGAGAGAGGGAGGAGGAAGTGACACAATCAGCTCAGAAATAAAATTTTCAAAACCAATTCTAAATTGCATATAAAAATCTGAAGCTGTTGTGTAGTGCTGGGGCAATGAGGGGCAAATCTTCACAGCTCTCTGAAGGGAAGAGGCAACATAAGGAACTTAGCAGATGCTACTCTTCTCCCCAGCAGTATTGGGACCACATCTTCCTCTTATTGTGCACTTCCCCAGTGTGTACTTCCTAAAACTCAACAGATTGAAGCCCAGTGTCCCTCTAGAGGAGCTGTGCAAGTGGTAGAACAAGTCTGGAAAGATGCTGGACTGCTATTTAAAAACTGCATGGTGTATTCTTGCTAGACTTCCTAGCTGAGGTTGGAAAAGTCAATTAAATTCCCTGTGCCTGTGGTATGTCATCGCTTAGTAATGTTGTCCCTTCTGTAGGGACTGAGATAATGCCTAGAAGCCTGAGTCAAGATTGAACTCCCATATTGTACACACTGTAGAAACACCAGTGTTCCTGAAGAGTTGACAGTCTCGACTGACCAGATGGACAGAGAATGGTCCATCTAACGCAAAATGCAAAATGAAGGTGCACAGTAAGATGAATCCTCCTTCATCCCATAGGAGGTATGTAGCAGACTTGGGAAGACAATACAAGGTGTGGGGATTCTAACTCTGTGCTTCTCAACTGTGCTAGTCCTCCCAAGATTCCAAGACACTTAATTGTGTGATGTTTGTGATGCCATGGTGATGAGTGAGTGTCACAGGAAAGTTCATCCCTGTACGAAACACTCTACCCCCACTGAGTAGTTTCTCAGATCATTATTTTCACACATTCCTGGCAGATAATTGCAATTTTCTTTAATTCTGTCATTGAAAAATCACAGCAACAAGCTTTTTAGCAGTAGTTTATCGTTTGAAACTGGATAAAGCCTCTTTGTTCTTAAATAAAAAGCCTATATCCCCATCAGTCAATGTTCTCCTATGAAAGGCCAGAAAGATCAAGCAGATCTTTTCCTTTTTCCATGTTGCTGATTGAAGACATGCTGATGTCTCTTCTCTGCCATGGAATAACTTCCTCGTTGTATAATTGCCTTTGAGCATAAGATGTGCCCCAGATCTCTGAATAAAAACCATAGGACCCAAGGGGACGGTAAGAAAAAACTTATAGATGAAACTTCTGAATATGGCAACATTTGTACTTTGCATGCTAAATTCCTCCAAAGAGTCCATTGTATATAGTTTTCAGTCTGCAAGTGAAGACTGTTGGGCTTAGCCGTGAGGCTGGTTTATGAAAATGAAAATTGGAAATTTCCATCACTGAGGATGTGGGGAAAACTTGAAGAAACATTTGATTTTTACTAATGTTAGCTATTTTGTATCTGGGCTTTTTTCTGGTGGTGGTGGTGTTCTGCTTTATCACTTATATAACCACAGACTGCTCTGGGATATGTTTGAAGAGAAGCACCTGCACAAGGACAATTTTTGCAGCATTTACATGTCTTTCTGTATCAGCTGTGGCATGCTTTCCTAACCTGTGCAAGGTCACCCTTTCCCATGAAAGGAGGCAGTACTCTCGCATTCTTCACACTTCCTGACTGAAAAATTTCTCAGATTTATTTCGCATCTGTGGCTGGCTCAGAGGTGAACAGTGGAGAAGGTGGTGTGCAGGAGACTCATTGTTTTTGTGATGGATTCCAAGTTCTTAAGCTACGTCGCCTTTAAAACAATGCAGAGTCCTGCTGAAACAGTAAACCCCATGATTTATCTGGAGTTAGGCTAAACGTTCATTTGTTGCTAACCTCTGTGTGTTAAACTCCTTTTATATCAGGAGAACAGATAAATCTTGGAAAGGTAATAACATTTGTTAGTGGAAGCCCATCATTCTCCTCTCGTTTTTAAATGAGAGGCTAACACAATACCATGGGTTCTATTGTTATCCTGCTTCCAGCTGAGACTTTAAAATGGTAATGCAGACTGCTCCTTCATATAGGGCACTTGGTCTGTTTTTTTGAAGAGCAAGTAACAGCCGGAAGGTGTCCGAGAAGACAGCAGTTGCTAAGGCTTGGCTGGCTGTGCTTCTAGAAAGATTCCAAAAATGCACAGGCTGTGTGTTGGTCCTGATGGAGAGAGCTTTGCCAAGGGCTGAAAAGGCAGGAGAAGTTGTAAATCCTGCCCTTCTGCTTTCACGAAAAGCAGACGTTGATGATCTGGGGCTCATGTATTTGTAACAGTGCCATAACTAATGACTTGCATTGATGCTCAGTCCCATTTGTTTGGTCCCGGGGAAGGAAAAAGTCTTTAATAAATCAATGAAATTGTCATTTCAAGAATGACGCATTCAGCACTGGCAAAGGCTAATTATATTTTATGGGTGCTTATTGACTGTGGAGCCTTCAAAGCTCTTAGCATGATGGGGAGGAGAAGTGAATGGGATTGCTCGTGGAAAGTCTTTTAAGAACAGCTGTGAATCAGAGCAGTCACTTTAGAGTCTAGGATAAACTTTGCTGAGCTTTTACAAAAGCTTCCTTTGAAAAATAAGACCCAGTGCTTTGTGTGAAAATGTCAGGTGCCACCTCATGACGTTGACTGTGTGCCAGCCAAAGCTGCTTCCCTCCCCTCTGTAAAAGGGCGCTTGGATGCTTTGACTCTTTTCTGTGATCTCAGTTTGACCTTTGCTGGTTGTTCCTAATTTAGTTCCTAAGTTCTGTGAACATGCGGGATCAGGATGAGTGCCACAGTATGCCCATGCCCAGTGGCTTCAGAAGTCTTGAGCAGGGTAGTAAAAAAACCTCAGTTACATGCAGCAGTTTCCCATGATGACAAATTGAAGCACTGAATGTCTCATGCAGGAGAGAAATTTATCCTTGGAGAGAAATTCACTGTAAACAAACCTATTAAGATATCCGGAAAGGACTGTTTCCTGCAGTATCATCTCCAGCAGTTTTTTCCGGTCCAACTTTAAATTCTCATTTATGAGACTGTTCTGTCATTACCACATCTTGCCATCAGCGCTTTTCTCTGATGTATATGGGAAATTGCTATGGTAACATGAAGAAGAACCAAAACAGTGAAAATGCATGTAACCTAAACCAAAGATTGGTAGTGGCTGTCTGTGAGCAATCCTTTTCTTGTATAAAATAGGATGTAGGTTTTCAATACATTAGCTACTTTGCACTCTTCCTCCCAACACATGCTAGGCTTCTGCATTAAGGGTAACACTGTGTCATTTAGGTCCACCTGCTTTGTAAGCAGACTCAGGAAATTTTCATACAGAAGCCAGTATACCCTGGGGTCCAGTGGGATGTGGCCATTCAGCAGGGTCACAGCCCTGTGAGCCACGGGTAAATCTCAGACACTAGCACGATGTTGAAGGACCTTGCTCAGGGGCCTGGTGCTGTTGTTACTTCACTGGAAGATCCTGCAGATGGCAAAGGCATGTACTGTTGATTAGAGTAACAAAGAACTTGCTTTGAAACCACTGACTTGGCACAGGAGAAAACTGCTGCACTGGAGCCTTTACCCAATATGCACATCTTAGCTGTCATACTCTCTACCTTTAGGCAAGTGGTCCTGCATGATGTGCACAGCAGGGTTTTCTAAAGACTAATCTCAGCCCACCTTTTCCCTTTGTGTTCAGCAGGAGTTTTGCTATTGACTGGGATGGGAACAAGGGTAGGTGAACAGAGCGCTTCAGTGAATACATCTTGTGTCTCACTGGACACCTAACCAGCCATAAATATGCTCTCTGCTTCCCATTCTGACCATGATCCCATTGCAGCAGGCACAGCAGAATAAGGGTAAGGGTCAGATAGCATAAACAGTAAGGCAGCATTATGTGTCACAAGGAAATGGCAACTGTCTTGGGACTTACAGGCTTACCTTGCTCTTGCCTTGATATCTGTACCCCATCACAGCAGTGTAGTATGTGCAGGGAAAGTCTGTATCGTTAGGAGGGGACAAGAGAGGAGCAGGTCAAGTTTCTGGCTTCTGTTCCAGGCTCTGCTGCCATCTTGCTGCTTTTTTTGACAAGTCATGTAGCTTAAAAAAAAAAAAAAAAAAAAAAAACATGCTATGAGGTCTTTGGCTGAAAAGAGCTGGGTGTATATGAAAAAGATAATGAGCAGTAAGGAGTGAAGAAGCATTGCAGGTCTCAGTCTGATTTTTTCAGGAACCATTGTTCTTCACAGTGTTAAAACCTACCTTCATGAAGCAGGTGCTATTTGCTTTCCTTTCCAAGATATCTCTGGGTAAAGAAGGGAGACAAAGAGTTAGAAAAGAGGACAACTGTTGTTTTTCCTTGCTGCAGGATAGAACACCTTGGACTCAATGTTGTCCTTCAGCTCTTGGTTGGGGTTCCCCTGGAAATGGTGCATGGAGCTGCAAGGATCAGCTTTGTGTACGTTGCTGGAGTTGTGGCAGGTAGGTAACACCTCTGGATGGCCCAGATGGAGAAGCATCTGACAATGGTCTGTGCTGGCTTTTGTGCAGAAGGAATGTTTTGTGACATTTGGGTGTAGGAGAGGAGCAGTCACTGATCTTCTGGGCATTGAAATTCTTTCGGAGGCTGAAAGTGGGAAATATGCTACAATTTGACATCTGTTTCTAACTAGCCATGGGCTCTCTGTTTAGGAGACCTGCTAAAAAAAAAGCACCAACAACCTGTTACTTTGCAATAGCTTTGCTTTAGATGGTCTTCCTGAATGTGGAAGTTGTACTGTTCCTTTCCTCTCGTGTCCATAGAGGTCTAGAAGAAAGGTGGCATCACAGGCATTCCTGCATGAAGAGTCTTCCCCCCCCCGGTCCTATGCCAGTTCTTCCTCCATTTGTCCTGTGCTGTCTGTTTTCTACAGCCTGAGTAAGCCAGAAGTATTTGGTTGTAGGTTGTGAGCAGTGCACAGGAACCTGGAAATTCATTTAATCATGAAGCCATGGGGTTTGATTGATTTTTAGCTTGTGCTGTATTGCTTTTATTTATGTGTGGCATTTCCAGCAGTTTGGAGGTGATGGAAGTTAGCTGACAATAGATCAACATCTCATTAAAATGGGGAGAGTGTGAGAAAAACCAAGGGCTTCACAGTGGTATTCAGACAATGATTCACTGCCTTAGTTCAAGATTTATGGTGGGGTTTTCTCTTCCAGCTACATAATTTTATTTTTTCCATAATGAGCAGATAAAATCTTTGTAAAATGGGCTGCATTGGGTACTAACAAATCCTACATTCTAGTAGAGACACTGTGGAAAGAATAATTGGACTAGGACACAGGACCAGGCATGGTACAAACACCACACTTTTTAATTCAGAGAAAGGAGCTAGCAGGCCAGCTCCACCGTCCCTTGCCTGTTATTTTAATAAGCACTGAAGTGGTCCCCAATCAGCAACTTTCCAGACATAATCTTTTCTACATAGATCCATCTACCAAACCCTGGGGCTTCATTTATGTACATGTAAATACGCATTGCACAGCTTTGCAGGTAAGCGAAGCAAGCGAGCGTTGAGCCTGCTGCACTTGAGTCCAGGTCAGCACTGCGAGTTGCCAGCTGCCTCGCAGATTTCTGTGGCCATGCACTTGCTGGCAGCATCTGCAGGGCCACAGACAGGTTTTGCTTGGGCACTGAGTTGGGCTGAATGCCTGGAGCTCTGGAGGCTTGTAGCCAGTGCCCGGGTGAGGCTCACTAGCTCAGCTAGCATTACTGGATTCATTTCTGCTACACACATGATCTCCTCTTTTTTCCTTGGATAAACTGCCACATCCTCATAGACTTGTCTTTCACACCTTATGACCTATAAATTGTGGAATAAGGTGGCAAATGGAAAGGGAAAACTTCCTTTCTTAGTGCTGGATGGAACTACAAATGTGACTGGACAGTCCCACACAGAAAAGCATTCCTTGATACCCGTACCATTTGAGTTGTTAGGCAATTATTAAATGTGACAAAAAAATTATTCTTTGACAAGAGTGTGCCAGGAGAGAGAGAAAGACGTGTACTTATGCTGAGGATCTGGCAATAGAAAGATAACACAGCTCCTAAACAATCAAGAATAAACAGTAAAATGTAGACATAGGCCACAAGGGCCACTCCCTACTTCATGGTTTTTTCTCATTTGTCTGGCTTTACTAAGAAGGCATGTTGAGGCTGAGATCGAGAGACTCAGTGCAGTGTCTGAGGACTTAACTGTAAGTTCTCATTACTCCTTTCCTAAATTCTCATTAACTTTTTCATTATGTCCTGGCTTTGACCAGGATAGAGTTATTAATGATGATGTTTAAGAGCTGAGAAGTCTCAGGGCCATACAGTGAAGGAAGGAGCTATCAGCAGAGCTGGCTGGTGGAACCTCAGCACTTTCTTGACCCAGAATCAGCTGAGCAATTAGGAAAGAAGTTTGTTAGGTTCTGTACTACCAAGGACTCTCTCAAGATCTGCCATTGTCTCTTTTTCCCATTCCCGCTCATCACAAAGATCTTCTTTATCCCTGCCTTGTGACACCATGTCTGCCTTTGTGTCTCTCTCTCTTCTGAAGTTTGCAATGAAAGGAGCTTTGAGCAGATCCAAGCCTTCAAGGGCTTTGAGCAGATACCCTCCTGGGATAAGGAGAAGCAGTGCCTATGTTTGGATGCATTGTTACTAGCGATGCCTTTATGTGATTGACCTGTCATTTTGCTATCTTGTGTTTACTGCCTCCACCCAGATTATTTTTAGTTAGTTTTACTCTGAAGTTTTATAAGTAACAGGCTGTGCTTTGATCAGAGGCCTGTGCTAAGTTACAGGTCCCCAGTTCCTTCTTGCTGTGCAAATATTTGTTTTGCCAGCATGGGAGCTACTTCTATTTTATCTTCATGTGAGGATCCAGACACAGATACTTGTCTGTCTCCTGCTTCCTTGTTAGTTTAATCAGGGTATAGGTGCCTTTTTTTGGCATAGGTTTGAAGATATATTGCTGCCTTGCTTGGCTGCTTTTAAAGTGGGTGCAGAAGAATCGATCAGTCACTGTCTTAGCAGTTCTACAGGACTGAGTTAGCTTCCACAAGTCAATTGATTTCCCCTTCCCAATTCTCTTCGTGTATTACTGACCTGCATCTATTAGCACAAAACAAGCAGTAGCAGGGATGTAGGATAGGAGAGAGTGTGTTTATTTGGCTGCAATTGTCACAAACCCTTGTTTTTTCTCCCAGGGTCCCTGGCAGTGTCAGTAGCTGATATGACTGCGCCTGTGGTGGGCTCCTCTGGAGGCGTGTATGCTCTTGTCTCAGCTCACTTGGCCAATATAGTCATGGTGAGTACCAGAATGACTGTCTAACCCCTTCGAAAGTGAGCCAGGACTGGTGGCCCAAAGGGATTGGAAATTGGGCCTGACCCAGCTGTTGGTCATTCAGAGCTTGCCCTAGTTAAGATTCTTGTCTTGGTGTTGTGGTCCTGAAATAGAAATGTTACACTGCAGTTGCCTTGGTACCCTCATGACTGGCAGCTTGCCAGGAGAAGCCAAAGATGCTGATAATCCAAGATTTAGCGGTGTACTCCAGGCTGTCAGCTCTCCTTGCAAGGACTGACAAATGTTTGGAAAAGGAGGAGCTGACTGGCTCTGTGGAAGCTGCAGATGTGTTTCTGTCTGTGTGCCATGTAATGTCAGTGGGTACCCAAGGAAATTTAGTGTTTGGTGGATTTGTGTGCAGAATATCCCCTGATCTCCGTTTGTAAAACTCAGACTGAAGCTGAACCCTGGGCATAGTAGTGATGCATCTTTTTGTCATTTCACCTAATGAAATACTTTCCAGCATCGTCATTCCTCTAAGACATAGAAATAGGAGCTCATCCAAGGTTCTCAGCTAGATGGTGGCAAAGCCCAGCACATCTGCCTGTGTGACTCCTCAGCTGATCACTGGGCAAAAGGGCTTTGCTGAGAGATTTGTGTGTGGTGGTACAGGGTTGCATGTCTGTCCTGTATCAGCAGTGTCAGAGCAGAATAACCATAAAAAAGATGGTAATGTGTTCTCCCCTGGGTCTGAGTGTGAAGATGATGCGGGTCAGCTGCAGTGGAGACAGAAGATCTGTTACATGGATGCTGAAAAACGTGTGTGTGGCTCAGCAGGCTCTGGCTGCAACCCACAGCGGTGCTGCTCCAGGCAGCTGGCAGTGGGGGAAGCTAGTGATTTCCTGAGCAGAACAGTTCTGCTTTTGCTGTCTTCAAGTTTTTCAGAGCATGAATGAGCTGGGGGCTATTGTCCAGTTGAGTGGCTGGGCAGAGAGATAGGGAGTGGAGGAGAGGGGCTACCCCTATACCACAGGGTTTCTACTGGGGAAATGCCCCCCTATACACAGTGATTTTCAGTACAGTTTGTGTTCCCTGCCACTGGGCCAACAGCAGCAGGAGGGAGTTTCCCCTGTCTCACAGGGTGGCAATGCAGACACAGGGTTTCTTCACACTGAGATTCACAGGGTCAGAGGGGGACATTGGAGGAAATTTTGGTTTGTTTTAGAAAAAGAGGCTCTGCTGGAGGCGTGGGGAGAGTCTTCACTAGTTACCTTCCCAGACTTCTTAAAACGTTGCAGAGTGGCCTGTTATTTCACTACTCATTGGCCTTCTCCAAATCTATTTAGCAATTGTTACCTTAGCATATCTATTTCTCTATTATCCATTGCCTCTCTTCTCATCTGAAATTACTTTTACTGCATTTCCCATTCTGGTGGTGGTTTTTTTCATTTCTTTCCCCCTCTTCTCTCTCTCTGCTCACTTAGTATCTAGATGTGATGCACTCACATGTTGCTCATTTGCTGGTAGAGCACACAGTCTTGCACAGGTGCTTTGAGCGTGCTGGGAAGAAGAGGGACCGTTGCTGGAAGGGTCTCTTGAATCTTCTGTCCCCTTGTTCCTCCTAGTAACCAAAGGAAATGAAAACATTCCTGCTTGTAAAAAGTAACTATTATTGGAATTAAATAGGTAAAATAACCAACAGGAGGAAGCAATAAACCATGTCACCCTAAGGAAAAGTGTGAGGGGAGGAATTCAAAACAGCTACGTAGAAATGAAAACTGAAGGAAGCAGGACAGTATTAATCAGCTCAGAGTTCAGAGCCTTCTGACTGGGTTGGGTGTCTCTGTGGAGAGAGAAAATGAGTTCTTATTTTGTAGAGATTGCATTTTTGCAGTCACAGAAATGATAGACAGACAGATACCACATAAAACTTGAATATATGTAATATGTATTGCAGAATATTTCTTCAGCAGGCTGAAAAGTCACCGAATGCTGTTAAAGTTAGGCTGAAGAGTTTACACCCAATTTTTTTTTTTTGTTTTATTCCTTCAGTGTGATGAACAGGGAGGATTTTCAAAAGAAACCTGGCTAGCTTGGTATCTCATACTGCTTTCAACAGGGAAAATTTCATTTAGTCACAATAAAAATAATAATGGCGTCATACATCTGAGTTCCCCGGAACGTGATCTCTTCTTCTGCTTGGAAATTTTGTGCAAGTGGAAAAGGAGGAATTTAAACATTCCTCCCAGGATTTCTGTCATTCAGAGATTCTTATTCCACTATATTGATTAATGACCAAGCCTGAAGACAGAGCAAGCCAAATCTGGGCTTTCTTATGGGGCTGTTTCCTTGGTATGCTTTTATTGAGGTCTTTGTTATTTGTGTGTGCTCTGCCGAAGATCTGAGTTGCAGAATTTCAGGGAGCCTGAGGTACAGGCAGTAGCACTGGATAAGCACTGAGAAATGGCCTGACAGGTGACAGTATGGGGCCTCCAAGTGGATCATGATGGCCTGTGTGATGTTAGTCAGAATGATGCTTGTGTTGAATGCTAGGTACTACTGAACGTAATTTTATTTGATGTGACCTACTACAACAAGGTTTTGCAGGGTAGGTAAATTTGAATTTGTCTACCCTGCAAAACCTCAGAATTTAAGGTGAAACATCATACTAATGTGTTAAAAATTAGTCTGTCTGAAGAACAGAGAATGGCAAGGCCGGCCAAGGACCATGCCACACCAGCTGGATCTCAGGCATGGAAAGTCAGTAAGGCTGCCAGACAAAGAAGTTATGGACTGTCCATAACTTGGACATGCCTGCAATATGTCCTTCATGGTTATGTCCTCTGGGATTGACAGAGTGTGTCTGTGTCAAACCTCCGTGTTTGGTGTGGTGAGTGGAAAGTTCACAGCCAGGTGGCAAAGGGGTTTCTTTCAAGGATGGTCGTTCTTGATGCTCTTCTAATGTGTAGGTTTGAATGTGAAATCCCTCCAGGTTTGCATGCAGCATCACTTTGTTTTCCTTGTCTCTTTTCCAGAACTGGTCAGGAATGAAGTGCCAATTCAAACTGCTGCGCATGGCTGTTGCCTTGATCTGTAGTAAGTATCATGCAATACTTGGCACGTGTGCAGTCCTGTTTTCTTTGTCCTTGTCATAGGAGTTCATGTTGATACAGAGAGTTTTGACTTTGCAGCAGTTTTGGTAGGAACCTGCAGCTGGACCTTCACACACACTCAGATGCAGATTTTGGCTTTCAACACAAGCAATTGTAAATGAGGATTTATTGTTAGCCAGCATCTGTAGCTTGTGGCATTTGTGAAGATCTAGGACTTAAACATCTCATCTCTGAATTCGCAAACAAACAATGCTTTCGTAATGATAATACTTACATTCCCTAGACTGCTTCCTATCTGTCATGGCAATAGCATAATCCACGTTACACATTAATGAGTTATCTTCCAGCCCTATCCATAGAGTGGTACAATAAGGGAAACTAAGCCATGTATTCATCACAGACAATTGTCTTCAAAGTCTAACTTTTTTTTTTTTTTTTTTTTTTTTTTTTGGTATAAATTTTGAAAGATGGATATTCCCCCCATCTACATTTCCACAAACCCAGACCACTGACCAGCCAGTGGGGAGACCTCATGTCTGCGTGCCACAGTGCTTACATAGCCATGGCTTCACAGCTTCCCTGTGCTCACCATAAAAGGCAGTTTCTCCCTTTCCATCTCTTCAGGGATGCAGTGCTACCTGCAACATGGATTTAAGAAGGGATAGACCTAGAGAATTAATTCCTTTTTCCTTCTTTATTCCAGTGAGCTTTGAATTCGGACGAGCCGTGTGGCTGCGATTCCACCCCTCTGCTTACCCACCCTGCCCACACCCCAGTTTCATGGCTCACCTGGGAGGGGTGATGGTTGGAGTCACTCTCGGTGTCATCATCCTGAGGAACTATGAGCAGAGACTCCAAGATCAGACTTTATGGTGGATCTTCCTTTCTATTTATGTCATTTTTGTCTTGTTTGCCATCTTCTGGAACATTTTTGCCTACAGCCTGTTGGATCTAAAGCTACCTCCCCCTCCTTGAAAACATGGGACAGAAAACTCGAGAGTGGAAGTCATCTGTCAGCTATGTTAAATGAATGAAGATGGAGGATCTATTTTTATATTTAACTTAGGGGAGGATGATTCTTTTGAACACAAGTGTGTGCTGGAGGAGATGCTTAAAGGTCTCACGAAAGAATGGGCTGATCAGTTTGTTCACAAATCTAGCAGGTACTGTAATACTGGCTGGCCTGGACCCTGCAGTTTCTCCACTGCCAGGGCTCCCATTGGGCAGCTTGTACCTGGGCACTTATCACTTGGTTTGTTAGCACACATCAATATTTTGTACAAGATATTTGTATTTTCCAGATCAGTGCTAGAATTATGGCCAGTTATTGAGAGAATCTCCTCAGTGTTACTGAACACTAAAAGGGAAAAAGAGCAGACATTTACTCGTTAGAGACTCAGATGGTTCTCACAAGGCAGCCTAGGTTTGGTTTCTATGGACACACCTGACTGTTCAGCCATACCAGTGCCACTGTCTAATTACTTGAATGGTTCATAAGATATTTTAGCCTACAGTGAAACCTGTCTTGAGCACCTTTCAAAGAAATCAGCAGAACTTGATCACCCAAAGTGATGGAGTCTGGTCTTCAACTACAGGTCAAATGGAATTGCACTATAAACCTTGGGAACTCTTAGAGTGTTGTGGGCACCCAGACAGAGGTGACTTACTGTGCATGTTTCACTTGATGTTAATTATTTCTTTCCCCCAGCCTGCTGTGGCTAGAGGGCATGCCTGGGGTTTCTTTTTTGAGGGATGGAGAAAAGGAGGGCAAATGTTCAATTGTGTTTTTATCAGCTGACAATCAGGTGCTGTTTTCTTCTCACTTTATTTCTGGCCATGCTGATCTAACACCTGACCTGCAGTGAGCTCCTAGCAAGGATCTCAACTATTCCAGCAGGTTCTTACTGGAAAAGTGGGACCAGGATCACCTATAGCAGCACAGAGTGGGAACTAGACTTTACAGCCATATAGTCCACTTGGGGCCAAATCTGTCTGCTGAAGTCAGTGGGGTTAAATCAGGTTGTATGTAGCACTGTTTTCCCACTGAAGCGGAAAGGATGTTACTGTGTTACAGTGATCTTTATGAAACTGGTAAAAGTGGGTTTAAAGTGATGCTAAATTTTGAGGATGCCTCTTCCTGAGGCAATGGATGTTCAGGGGCTCCGAGCAATGGAGTTAATTGCAATGATGCCTTTTTCTTTAACATTGGTCAAGCCCAGGTTTTAACAATCTGTAACTGGCCTGTAGCACAGTCCATACAGTTGCCTGCATGGACCTGGGGACCAGACTGGAACACCTGTAGCACAAGCAGTACTTACAGGTACACTTCTCTGTAAGGTGTTTATGTTATTTTGCTTCTCACTTTAGAGAGCTGCCAAACTACAGTCCAGGAATGTGGATACCCTCCTTTTCTCTCCCCTTTAGCCACCTAGTTTGATGGCCTGGATAAAGCAGCCATAGAAGCCTCTCTAGACTAGCTCCTTTCTTCCTTTTTTTTCTATTTTCATACTGGTGCCCAGGCACCAGCCACCAGAGCCTTCCGCAGCACATCTCATGGGCACTGTAGCAGTTGGGTTTGCTCTGTAGCAAAATGCCTCTGTATTGTGGGCTTTATTCTCTCAGCTGTGTAATCAGTGCTGCCAGATGATATCACAAACGGGTGGGAGCTTGTTTTTCTAGAGGGGACATTCACAAGTGCTTATCAGCTACCCCTTCTTTGCCTCTTAGGGGTAAAGTATCTCTGGTCTGGAAGGGTGAAGTTTAGCTCCCACAGTATGCACTAGTTAAACTCCTGTTGCCTTGAGGAAAGGGAAGGAGGAGAAAGTAAGTGTTTCTACAGCCTGAAATAAGCCTTACCTGTAAAAGAAACAATTTTTGCTATCTTTGTGCACAGGAATGGGATCTCTGAGGGCAACTGCACTTTTGTTGTTCTGCATGGCTAGTACATTACTCATGGGCCCTCAGATCAAGGAACAAGAGGAAGGGTTAAGGGTCAAAGCTCTGTTCACTTTGGAGAAGGGGATTGGTTCCCTGTGCCATTTTACCTCTGCAGTTCGGGTCCAGATTGAAGCAGTCATGAGAGTTTACATGCATCCTTTCAGGTGCTGGCCCAGTGGGTTTCGTAGCAGTGGGGATCATCTGCCCTGGGAGCAGCAGGCGAGCGGGAGAGCGGGGAGCTAGGAGAACACTGACAGAAGCATGGTTAACACGCAAGGAGGACGTTCCTTTCCTCACCTATTGCTAAGCCTTTCTGATTACAGATGCCTTTAAAATGGAGGTGAGCAGAAATGGGAGTTCCCCTGAAAGTTTTAGGAAAACTTCAAAAAATTTCGGTAGAAAATGTCAACCACAACAAAACCCAGATAATTTTGCTTATAATTTAGCAGAGTACAGTGTGCACCAATTGACTTTTAGTTTTGGTTTCTCAAATGAAAGCTACTTCATGCCCATCAGTTTCTCCCCAGAAAGGTTTCTCTGCCTGTCAGTGATGTGCTCTGAGGTGAAGCAGCAAGCTACAAGTTCAGTGACCACCAGCTTCTTCATCAGTTTGACCCTGGCCAACACACCTTTGCCTCTGCTCAGGAGTGGGCAGGAGCTGAACAGAGTAATACAGGCACTAGTTTTTAGTCCTTTATCCATAGATAAACATATTTTACATGAACAGGTTGAAAACAGCTCTGAGGTTGAGCTGAGCTTATGACTTGTCCTTCAAACTGTTGTTCATCTTTCTGACTTCCATTTTGTGTCCCCATACCTTGTCTGGGCAAGTCTGTAAGCAACCCTGGGGACAAAGGCCAGAATTTAGGGCAGCACTAAATTTATTGTGGGTGAAGAAACAAAATCCTCTCCCATTCCTCTTCATCAGAGCCAGAATCTCTCCCCGTACATAGAGCAGGTTGTACACAGAGCCTGTTGTCTGCCAAGTCTGTCAGCTCATGGAGTCAGGAACAGCACAAAGTGCTCAAGCTTTTATATTATGGTTTTTTAATCACTAAAATTGCACTGTGAAAACTTGTTATGTTTTTACAGAGTATCAGGAAGTCTAGTTATGTTATTTTCTAATGCACCCAGGAGTGCCACAGTGCTGCAGCACCGCAGAGCTAATAGCAACAAGGCTTTTCTTTTACCTCCAGATGTCCTTGAAGCTGCTGGCTTATGTCGGAGATGTAATATTCTCCATCCTGCTCATTTGTGGTTCCAGCTTGTCACAGCAACGTGTTCCTGAAGGAGACGTCCACTGAGGGACTGGTTTTGGTGACTGTTTTGGTTTTATTTCAGCTGCTGCCAGGATTTTACATCAGTCAGATAAAATGTGAATCTGTTGAACCTTACGGATGTGCAGTGCTAGAGCGAAAGGCAAGACTGCTGCTAATGTACAGATTTGAACAGTGAACAGTAAAGGAAGTTATTTTATGTCCTTGAGGAAGGATACAACACCTGGGGAGGAAAAAAAAAAAAAAAAGGCCGTTTGTGTTGGACTTCCCATTTAGTAAGTATATTACAGTACTGGTCCAGTGAGGACGGGTGCAGGGAGTAGTAATGCAGGCTGGGAGAGGCTGGGTGCTGGCTGAGAGCTCCTCCGGGGACATCTGCTGGCAGCACGGCGACAGCACGGACGGGGCCGGCTCCCAGCATCTCCTGGTCCCTCAACCCGAGGAGAGATGAGAGGAGGGGCGCAGACAGCCGTGGGGAGGAGGAAGGAGGAGGGGAACCAGGGAGATCAAAGTCCACGGGGCTTGCAAAAATTGCACCTTTTATTCCTAGATGCTCGTAGGCAGGTAAAGATTAATTTTGCACACATCCGTAATAATACAGGAAGAAGGAGGGTTGGGGGTTTGTGATGGAGTGATGGGAGAGGAGGTTACCAGAAACAATCTCTGAGTGAGGTGTAGAGGAGTTGTGAAAATGCTGATGAATTTACTTTTGCTGAGTTCTTAAGACGGTATCTCATGTCACTTTTTCCCCATCAGTCAGCGAGGAATCTTAGCACTTGCGTGACATAATTGTGATTCTCCACTGCTTGCCTCTTTAGCAGTAGGAAGTATTTTATCAATGGGAAAGGGGGAGGCCAAAGAAATTATGGTTGTCTGAGGTTTCTGGACTAGAAATAAAGCTCAGGGATTCTGTGTCCCAAGACCTTGCTCCTTATGATGGATTGTACTGCCCCATATGTTTTAAATCAGATTAGATCAATTTGAACTGAGGTGTGATGGATGGAATCTGACACACTTAGAGCTGATACTAAAATAACAGCAATGTGCTGACCTCACAAGACAGCTGCTGTTTTGTGCCAATATTTAGTCTCACAGGATCGTGGGTAGGACTTTCACACATACTTCAGTGAGTAAAGAGCTCAAAGTCTATCTGTTTACATAGATTCAAGCTCAGCTCAATTGCTTTGGAAACCCCATCCGCTGGCTTTACCCAAAGTAAAACTGGAGAGCATGGATGTAGTTCAACACCAGCAACCTCTGGAGGCAAACTGGGATGTGGAGAACAAAGGCCAGCACCTCTGGGTTTTTAGACTCTTTGAATATTGCTGCTGTTCTGTTTCTTTTGTAGTAGTGGCTGCTCTACAGTGGTCTGTGATACAACTCAAAAATTCCTTCTGCAATCACTGATGCTGAGAACTGGTTCTAAAGGAAAAACAGTGCATTTTGCAGCTCTATAAAGAAAGAATCACACATAAGACAGAAACCGAGCTTGTTTAAAGGTAAATGTATTTTTAATGTCACCATTAATCATTGGCTTTTAATTGGAAAAAGCTTTCTAATGAGGTATTTCTGAAATGCCAGTAGTAGGACAGAAAATATATGTTTCCGGGTACTTTACAACACAGAGCACAAAATATTCCCTAGGCCTGACTTAAGTAGCAAAAGTACCTTAATTTTCAGTGAGCTTAATAGATACGTTAGTCACTGTCTCCTGACTCCCCCACAGTGTCTGTTTAGTTTGCAAAGAAAGCTAGATTTATGCAGCTTTTCTTTTGCTTACACTACTAATGCTAACAGCACATCCAAGTGTTAAACACAAAGCACTAAACAATGTAATTTTCTGCCTTAAAATACAGAACAAATGATACTTTCCCGTTAAGGGCTAGTAAAACAAAATGATATTTGCAAGGTAAGACGCTATGGTACGTTTCCAAATATTTTTGTATTGTGTACATTCTGTATATTTTTGTTGTAACAATATTATTTGAGCATAAAAATCCATTAAATTTCTTTTGTTGGTGTTTTTTGGTTTGTTTTCTGATCCTTTTCTCTTTAAATAAAATTGAGCTGGACATATGTCCAAAAAACAAGCAAGAAAAAAACTTTCAAAGACAGTTTTGTAAGTTTGTCTACAGTTAACGCAGTATTTAACAAAAGAGCAATTGGTTTTGAGCTCTGCAATGTAATCTTTTAGTAATGACATTGATAACTCATTTTTATGTCTCTCTAAAAGTGTCTGCCTACAAGATAAAGGGGAGAGTGAACTGCTGCTTTATTTCTCCATGAGATATAACGAGGATGCAGAACCAGCTTGGGACTTGTGTTGAAATTCAGGTCTTGTCTCACCATTTGACAGCTGATGCTTTAGTGCAGTAGTGACTTCAGAACTGCAGGGAAGTTGATCATCAAGTATACTGGACTGTTTTGGGTTTTTTTTTATTGGAGTGGAGGGTTGTTCTCTTTTAACACCAGTCTCTACTGAATGTCTTAAAAACTCAAGAGCTGAGACATTCCTGACTCTGGAATCAATAGCAGGAACAACACATCCAGGGAAGTCTGCAGCAAACCTCCAACTGGTTTAGTTATTTTGAGGTAACTAAAATAAAAATCCTTCCACCACCGCGTAAGGGCAAGGCTTATTTTGAAAAAATATTTTGTGTTTTTGTTGGGAAACACTGAGTTAAGTGTAACTTGAAGAAATGAAGATTAACTAGCAGCAGTTCCTGTCAGATTTGGTATGCCTAAGGGGAGGCAGATCACTGCTACAGCATGTGGGACTCAGCTCTTGCTGTTAAGTTTTCTGCACTTGGCTGAGCTTTCCGAGACACTAAAATCTCTTTATTCATTAGCTGAGGACTGTCAGCAAGAAGGTAAGGTGGGTTTTGTCAGTTAATACAGAAAGTGTTACTGTCTGCTAGCACCATGCATTTTTTTTGCTGGCTAAAATGATTTTAGAAAGGCAAGCTGAAGGACAGAAATTTGCCAATTCCAGCACATCTGTTGCAGAGAAGGAGCCAAAAACTGGCAGCCTTGATACTCATAAAACTCATTATCATTTTATTCCCATAGCTCCAATCATACTCTGTATAGTAAGCGTTGCTCATAAGTGTTGGAAAGAGAAATACCGATTGGTTTATATGCTACTTCTCTTGGGGTTTAAGAGGGGGGAAAACCAAAAAAAACAAACCAGACCCTGATCCTTGAAACTGCAAGAGCTCTGTAGCAGTTAAATCTGAACTTGCATTCTTAACTAGGCCTGGGGGACCTTGTGTTTGGTTGGGTGTTTGGAGGGGGGTGGGAGGTTATTTGTTGTTTTGTTGTTTTGGTTGTTTGGTTTTGTTTTTTTTTTCCAAATGCTTTTAAATCAGACCCTTAAAACTACAGTAAAAATCTTTCAGTTTGCGAACTAAGTGCACATCTCAGCATCTTCTGACCTTTTGTGTGCTTGATCCTGAACTTTGAATAGCCGATTTCTGGAGGAAGTTGAGTGTGTAATACTCTCCAGGCATCCATGCAGCTAAACCATCTGCTTCTGCATTATTTATTATGCTTTTGCTTAACTTCTTATAGTTCTGGTTTTTAAAATAGAATTTATAATGGGAAGATGTCAGTAGGACCTTTAAATTCATGAACTACCAGGGTGCATTTCAATGTGTGTGTGTGTACTTGTGAGCATCCTGACTTTAGTAGTTGGATAGCTGGATGGCAAAGTCACTGCAAAGCTGGGAGAAGCAAGGTGACGTTAAAACAAAGGCTGCGGAAGGCAAGAAGTTCTATTTTTCATAATACCAGCCAATTTCAGTGCTGGGAAAATTCAGGAAAAGGAACAGAAACCACAGAAAAAGCTGTGACTGAAGCTGTCCACATGTAACAATACAAATTCAGTGTGACAGATACTGAACAATGCATTAGAGAGGAGAAACACCAAAAAGACTAAACAAGGTTTTACAGTTAAGCTTAAAAAATCTGGATTTTGAAGAGTGATTTATGATCGTTTACCTAGCACACAAAAATCTTATTTAAGGAGCATAGTACAGGTCACAGGATAATGGGATAATTTAGGTTTTAAGGGACCTCAGCTCTCTAAGCTGACCCTGTCTTGAGCAGGAGGTTGGACAAGAGGTAATGGAGGTTGGTCAGCACTTCAGCCAGTCTATCTTTGAAAAATTCCAGGGATGAAGACTGGGCAAAGCAATTGTGGTTGCACCTCAGGAAAAGTTCATCACCACCAGCACTGCTGTGCCTGGGACTGACCTACTCTTTGTAAATATAAGGCAGCACACAGAATGCCTGGCCCAACTCTCCACTGGTCTGCCCTCCAGACCACAGCTACTTGCTCTTCACATCCAACTTTTTTTGGTTTTTGAGCACTGAGCTCTTCCCTACCTCCTGATCAGGCAAAATACTAAACGATCAGTGCTCCAATGTTGTTAGAAAAGTACAAGAGCAACAAAGGGTGACATGTTTTATTGAGTGGCACTGTTTTACTCATGAATAAAATATTCTGAAGGAAAACACTGTTACTTCTCAGAGCTCCTGCAAATGAGAGAATAAGAGGTTTGTTTTCTTTCAAACTATTATTTTCTTCTCTGATCTGCCCATACACATTATGTGTCACCTCAGCTGTCAATATGACTCCTGCACATTATACTAACAGCTTCCTCTGCACTGTGTGAATAAAGGCTTTTAAACAGGAGACATCAAGGACAACACTCATTTGTAATTTAATGGAAGCAGACTATTAAGGATTTGAATGTGGTTTATTGTAAACCTCATTATAGGTTCAACACAGTGCTGCAGCAAAGCACTCATAGTCACAGTATACAGCTCTGCCAGAACAGTCAAAACTTCACTGCACTAGTAAGGCTGTTACTGTTTCAGGGAGAGTTCAAATGCCCTGTTAGGTGCCAACACCCTCCGCTGCAAAGGAAAGCAACGGAGTTTTGCTTATATCAGGTTTGTGGAAATAGTCCTCGTGGTCCCTCCGAGGCCTTGTGAGTTTTGATTCCATCTGTAGGCAAAGATTTTCTTCAAATCTGTCTAAATGTCCTATGATGTGGCTAAGAATTCATTGCTGAAATACAATGACATATTTTAAAGTCTAAATAATTAACTTGGGGACTTAGTTTACTCCATTTTCCAAATAAGTTTCTGTTAGTTTGAAGTTAATATTTAATCTGTAACATTTTCAGATTTAATTCTCCATGGTTGATAAAACAGGATTATATACAATTAATCAAAATGAGTACTAAGAACACACAAAGGTGGTCTTTACCACACTGCAAACTAATGAAGAATGGGATTCATCTAACAGCCTGGGAATTTAACATGTCTGTCCAGTGTATGTATGCATATATACAAAGGCAGTTCCATTTCATACTAATTAACAACTTATTTATCTAGTAACAGGAGAACAATTGCCAGCTTGAAAGCAGAATGTGAAAACTAGCTACAGACTTTTTACTTATGTTCTGTTATAAAAACAAATTCGATTAATTCATTTACTGTGATTTATCCAATGTTTATGCTTCATAATATATAAAATTAAAACAAAAGTAACCAGATCTTAATGATTAGACATAATCATTTTAAAGATATTTGAAATATTTAAAACACTGGAATGCTTGCCAGGTAAGAGATTTAGGGTTTTTTTTCCATGTAATGACTCTAAAAACTGAATGTCATGATTTCCTCAAAAAAGGAAGAATGGGGTAACCACTGAAAACTATGCAGGAGTTTGTATGATCTGGTATTTACATGTTAGAAAAGCTCACACTGCTTTCTCAAAAAAGAGAAAAGGTAGATAAAACTCCAAATTAGGTTTGACTTAGCTAATACTTTTAAATATAAATTAAAAATCCTGCGATAGTGAAACTAAGCTGCACAGAAGAGATTAATGATTTATACAATACCCTCAAACAAGTACAGAATAATTAAGATAATTTTAAGCCACTGATGTTTCTCTCATGAATTCCTCAAGGACAGTCACTACGTTTCTGGCTTCTGGCATTTCTGCATGTTCTACTTTGACAATCTTCAAAAGGATGTCTCCACTGCCACAGTTCTTTAGAAACATGTAACACTTGAACAAGGCGTAGTGGTTCATTTCAGCCTGGCGGATAAACCTCTTCAGGTTGTTAATGTCTTGTATAGCCTGGGGAAAGTAGCACAGCATTTTCTTATTCTTCTACATGGAAAGAAAACATACTATCATGTAGAAAACTGAAGGAAGAATAGCAAGAGAAGCAAAAGCCTTTCCAATAGGAATTCTGTATTACTACTCAAGAGTAATGTGAGAATTGAGTACCATTTTGAAGTGTATTACCACTGTTACTGTAAGGAGGCAAAATGTGTGGACACCACAAACTTAACCAAGACTTGTAGCAAGAGTTCTTCTCTGAAGAAGTTACTTCACTGAAGTGTTAACTACTGAACTACTTCAGTTCTTCACTGAAGTGTTAACTACTGAATCCATGTTACCCAATTACACAATATTGTGTGTGCACAGATCAAATTAACAGTATTTTAAGAAAAAAAAAAGTAGGTTTTATTTTAAATACAACAAAATGGAGTACTCACTGAAGAAACTTTCATACTGCTTTACATTCTGATCTTGTCAACTACAGTAAGCCAGTCCTCAACTTAAACTTGAGTTAATCAGTTAATGACGTATAAACATCATAAATAACTTAAAACCCTTTCTTCACTGCAAAAAAATTATCTGCTTCCTCAGACACCTTGATACCTTCTCCAAGTCTTTAACATAGATGAACAGGTACCTTCAATTTAAAGTTTTCCAAAATTTGCCGGAAGAGAAATGGATTTCCACCTTCAGCACCATTCACAAAAGCATGCATCCAGTCCTCACAGAATCTGTTGCTTCCTGTTACGTGTTTAAGGAACACAGAGAAAAAATGAGAAAAATTAAATGAGCTCAACATGAATATATAGCTGCATTCACCTGGTTTAATCACTCTTACATAGCAACTGATAACAGTGTAGCTGAGCCAGGAAATGTCTTAAGAAAAACAATATACATGGAAAAGAAAAGCAAGCATAGCTACTGTGATTACATGAAATTGTTTTGATTGTTCAATCCTTTTTCACAACATTTGTCAAAAATACAACAGAAAAAAAGTTTTGCCACTTCCCTGAAGTGCACAAGTCATAATTTCATGGTCAGCAAACTAAATGCACTGTGGATTTTATTCAGAGTTCTGCTGTAGCTGGTAAGACAAACTACTTTGCTTACCTCACAGGAAACCCAGTGTTGTAGTTTCCAGCCAGAATCCAGACTTTCTGGGCAGGAACCTATGAGATTCTGAATATCCTCAACTCTCAGCAGCTGAGGGATACAAGGGGGTAACATGAAGAAGCATGCACAGCTGTAATCTCACCTGCATTGTGCAACTGAGGCTGAGGCCCACTACAGTCTATAATCATTGACTTGTGCTGTTCCTCAGTCATGGCAATACACAAGGAGGTCATGGTGCCTTCCTGAACCAGTCCTTGGAGGCTGGCAGCTGCCAGAAACCTGACACAAAAAGCTCTTGTGAACTGCTTGCTTCTTTACAATTCCTGAACAGCAAGAGCAGGAAGCTGTCATACATGAAAGCCAAGTTACTCACAGGTTCCTCAGTCTCTAAGTATCTTTACCTGCTAATGTCTTTTTCTGTTCTTTCATCTGCATTTTTTACTTCCACGGGAGTATAACTCAAAGCCTTAAAACAAACAAACAAAAATTTAAAAAGCTAGCAGCAACTTTGATATTGCTTCTGTTGCTATATTGCAGTTACTAGCAATAAATACATAATGCGGTACTTTAAAAAAATGCTCTTTCCAGAGAAAGAGTAGAATACTCCGTATTATAGACGTTGCAGCTGGTTTTGCATTCAGAAGAAATAAAGCAGTTATAGTCTATTAGCTATCCCATCCAAAGCCTCCTCAGACTCAGGGACTAGAGCTAGGATTAATTTGTTTTCTGTTCCCAGTGAATTAAATAAGGCACACACACCATACAACATCCCTTTTGGTTCAGGAGAATTATAGCAGGGACAGCTTTCTCATGTTGTTTCTAATTTTATTTTTATTTCAACTTGGACACGACTATGTAATTTAAAATGAGTTAACTATAAAAATTTATAGAAGAAATTGCTATGTGCTTCCTTAGCAATAAAGCAGGGAAAAAATACTTGCCCTGAATTTAACAAGAAAGAAAAAAAAAAAAGTTGTTCCTCATTTACTCCTGGCTGGGAAAGCAAGTACAAGAAACATTTTAAACATGCTGGAGTCACTGAGGTTTCCTCTGAACTTTTTTTAGTTATCCAGTTTGAAATACTTACAGCGTGTAGCAAAGAGGTGAGTTTGTCCTGGAAGAGCTGTACTACTCGCTGAATAGGGCATATGGCATTCTCAAACCAGCTTCCCAAGTAGGCGTTAACACAGGTCTCCAAGGTTTTTTGCTGTAAAAAGTTGAAACGTTAAAACTTTAACTACAAAACAGATTTCTACACAAATGGAAGCCTATTAATAATCTATTCAACCTAAGATATTTGGATGTCAAAGCCTTCTTAATTTCAAACCACAGTAAATTAAAATAATGAGTTTGGCATTTAAAACCACACTTTTATTAGCATGAAGGGGTTTGCATTTAAAGAAACAGAATTGTAATATGGTATATACTGAGCAAATACCACGCAACAGCACATGGGATGAGAAAGAGACTTAAAATGCATTATTTCCATGAGAAAAATTGTAGCAAGAAAATCACTGAAAATTCTTCTTTAACATTCTGAAGTGGTAAGGATCCAGGTGGACATTGGTAACTTTCCTGTAGACCATTAATTGTTACTACTCATTCTTCTCTCTGAATCTGCAAGTGACCTTTAAGAAATTTATGACTGGCACAAAAAAGCCCCCCCCGCCCGCTTTTGACTCCTGTGGTTGATAGCACTTTAGACAGTCACTGTTGCTACAGTGACTCCAGTATCTCTCTCGGCTTTCACACTGGTACTTAAAACACCTATTTTGTCTCTATAGACTAAATCTTCCAGACTGTCTTAATAATTAATTTGGGTAAATAGTACTTTTCACACTTAAAAAAGTTAGGCCTTACCTCCAAATCAAGGTTTATCTTCAGACTTTGAATGTATTTGTCCAGCTCAAGTCTGAAAGTATCTTCTTAAGGAAAGTAAGATTCATCAGTTAAGACCTGCATTTTTCCCTTTCAGTATACGGCTGTTATTGACATTGTCAGTTACTGGAAGGTGTGCACAAACAGGCTGATTTCAAGTAGGAAGCAGACAAAATGAGAACAGAATTTTTGCATCATCTCCCTCTCCACGCAGATAAAGAAAGTTAACGGTAAGGATATAGTTCCAGACCTTTCTCTGAGCCACCTAAGAAACAAATGACATATTCTGGAACATTGATGTCTGATTCCAGCGTTGCCATTTCTAGAAGATTTTCTTGTTGGAAACGACAGTAATAACAACCAACTTTATATTCTGGTATGCTATGCAGAAAAAAAAAATTGTTACAGATACATCACAATAAATAAGTGCAAAAAGCAGACATACATGATTTCTGTAAAGAATTTTCACCTGCTAGCACTGGTGGCTCCTATGGTCTCATACAGAACTCTTAAACCTTCTCTTTTTTTCCTCTGTGGTGGAATCATAGTTTAAAAGGAAATAGCCATAAACCCACATAGTATTTTTTTAAGTATTCAAACAGTAAATTATTTACTATAGTATTTTTCTCAAAGCTGCCTAGAAAAAGAGGAAACTGCCATTGCACAGAACTGTTATTAACAGCAGTAATAGGCTGAGAACATGGAATCGAGATCAAACCTAAGTGCAGCAGCAGATGGGAAGATGTGCAATGCTGCCAATGTTTCTTACAGTTTCTCATTCACAAATAAATTTTTAAATTTACCTCAGCCCCACTGATGCTACATTCCCCATTCCTTCAAACAGAGCTCCTTTAGTGAGACGCTTAGCAATAAAGCTGCGCAATTCGGTCTCTGCTTCAGCTGGTAAGTTAGTGTCCAGCAAGGAGAGGCTTTAAAAAACAAGAAGAAATAGTTAGCAAAAAGCAAATGTTATTGTTTTGTTTCTCTGAACAAGTGCAGAACCACCTGCTTCTAGAACAGGGACCACTGTGATCTCTTGCTGGCTTACAGTGGACTCGCTCAGTGACTTCTGGCCCGTCGGAAATGCATCCAGTGGTTTGCCCACCAGACCAGAAGTCTGGACTTGTGTCAGCTGATGCTGAATTCCTCAGCAGCTATGAACAAGTCACCGCCTGTCTCCACTCCTATGTCTCCCTAGTTGTAATACAGACCAACAACACCATTACAGAGCTTGTGGTAAAGCTATCCATTTATAACTGTTTAATAAATTTTAAGTACCTATTATCTACGTGAAGGCCTAAGTCAATACAGTCTAGCAGCAAAGGAAACAGAGTTCAAACACGAAAGATGACAGTTTAATACATCATCTGACCTCTGTAGTTGTGTCCATTCCCTCGGTATTCCATAAAAAGCATGCAGGGGACGTCAGTACGCTTTTACAGAGGTTTCTGCTTTGAAGAGACTTCAATGTACTTGCTTACTATTCACCTAACAGCAATACGGCAAAGACTTCAAAATGGGGCATTACAGGCAATTATGCTGTTCTGCAGATTGGCTTTACCTGAAGTCTTCGCTGGAGGGTGTCTCTGCCGCCGCACTGCTGGGACTGCCATCCCCACTGTCTGTGCCCTGCTGCGAGGATCTGAAAATGAAGCCGTTTTTATGATTGATTTTACAGCCTTAACACACAGACCAGGGAAAAGGGACTGCAGCAGGGAAAGTATGGCCTGAGGGTGTTTTAAAGCAGGAGCAGGGAATCGGGACATTACAGGAGGAAAACAAATCTCTTCGGGGGAAGAGAGAGAGTGATAAAAATAAAGAGAATTCAAGCAGCCGGGAACCGATGAGGCTTGGAAACGGCCTCCCCGCGGCGCGGACACAGCGCGCACCGGCCTCACCAGGCCGCGGCCCCTCACCTGCAGCTCCGGTAGCCGTAAAGGCTGTGGTAGGTGCTGCCGTGCCGCTC